GGGCATGGAGGAGGGCACTTGTGGGGATGAGCACTGGGTGTTATGTGGAAACTAATTTGACAATAAACTATTTGTAAAAAAAAAAAAATGAAGGCATCATAAAGACATTCCCAGATAAATAAGAGCTGAAAGAATTTGGTGCTAGGAGACTTGCTTAACCAGTTATATTTAGGAGAATTCTGTGGGTTGAAAGCAAGTGACAATGGATGGCAATTAGTGTGCACATGAAGTAATGAAGTGCTCTGGGACTGGTACTTACACAGATCATTGTTAGACTGCTTATGTATATACCTTCTCTTTCATCCCTTAGCTTGTTTAAAAAGCAGTTGCATAAGGTGCCATATATATATTTGGGGTCAGTAACAAAGAAACATAATATTTCTGATGATAATAGCACAAAGGCCATGGGTGGGTAAGGAAATTACATAGGAAGATGTGCACACTGAGATGAGTGAATACTGTTGTACAGTGTACAGTGAAAACTGCTGATGAAACACCAGCATGGAGGGGAATTTCCAAAATCATTGCTCCCTAGGGTCTTTTTGTTCAACAGATCTTTCCTCTGGTTATGTTTCCTCTTTCATTCTCCCCATAAGGGCAAGAAGAAACCAAGCCTCCCCATAAAATAAACTTTGCTAAGACTTATCCCATTGCACAAGGAGGCCTTTCTCCCCAGTTCCCAACAGCACTGCACCTATAGCATCCCCAGCATCCATATTCCCACTGTCACCCTCATCAACCTTGTCTAGGCTTTTCCTATCATGTCCCTGGAGTCCTTCCAGCCACCAGCCTCTCTGCCTGATTCCAAAGCCACCACACACTTAAGTATATGGTAAGGCAGTAGCTCACACTTGGTACCAAAATCCATATTTGTTTCCTATTGGTACATAACAAATGATTACAAACCTATAAACTTGCATAAAAGCACGTGTTTATCATCTCACAGTTCTGTATGTCAGAATTCTAGGATTCAGGATTGTCTGTTCAGGGCATCACAAGGACTTTAAAACAAAATATATCACTAGAGGCTAAAAGTGTAAAAGGATCAATTTATCATGAATTGTGTCGTGTATCATGAAGATGCAAGAATTATAAACATAGAACCATCTTATAACAGATTACCAAAATTCATGTTGCCAGAACTGACAGAATTGAAGGGAGAAACAGACAATTAAGTAATAACAAGCTGAATATGTTAAGAACCCACATTCAATAGTGGATGAGAAGCTAAGCTGAAGATCAGCAATGATGAGCAAGCCTCGAACAACACCAGACCTGACAACTGTAGAACACCTCACCAGACAACAGCACACACGTTCTCCAGAACTCGTGGAGGGTTTTTAAAAATTTTTTAATGTTTTATTTATTTTTGAGAGAGAGAAACAGAGGGGGAGAGAGAGAGAGATAGTGCAAGCAGGGGAGGGTCAGAGAGAGAGGGAAACACAGAATCCGAAGCAGGCTCTAGGCTCGGAGCTGTCAGCAGAGAGCCCAATGCGGGGCTTGATCCCACGAACCGTGAGATCATGACCTGAGCTGAAGTCAGACGCTCAACCGACTGAGCCACCCAGGTGCCCCTCTCGCCGCTTTTAAGTGTAAAATTCAGTGGCGTTAGCCACAGTCATGTGATGTGCAACAGTCACCACTACCCATCTCCAAAACTTTTCATCTTCACATAGAAACTGCATACCCATCAATTAGCACCTGCTACCCCCTCCCCAAGCCCTCTAACACCTCTATTCTACTCTCTGCTTCTATGCATTAGGCTATTCCAAAAATGTCATGGAAGTAGGATGATAGAGTGTCCTTTTGTGTCTGGCTTATTTCATTTAGCGCAGTGATTCCGAGGGTTACCCACGCTGCAGCATGCATCAGGATTTCCTTCCATTTAAGGCTGTGTCTACCACACTATGCTCATGCCTTCATCTGTCTGGGCACTGGGGTCTGTGCATGCTTCAGCTACGGTGAATAATGCTGCCAGAAATGGGTGTACAAATGCCTGTTTGTTTGCCTGATTTCAGTCCTTCTGGGGCTAGAAATTCCACTAGAAGTTGACTCTCTGGACCCCACATTAATTCTAAGTGTAACATTCTGAGGATCCACCATAATGTTTTCATAGGAGCGGCACCACCTGACATTCCACCCAGCAGTGCACAGACAGGGCTCCTGTTTCTCTGCATGCTCACCAGCACTTGTCAATCTTTTTGTGTTTTTAATTTTTTAATTTAATTTTTTAGAGAAATATATAGTGAGGGGGTGGGAGAGAGAGATAGAGAATTCTAAGCAGGCTCTGTGCTGTCAGGATAGAGCCCGACATGGGGCTCTATCTCACAAATCATGAGACCATGACCTGAGCCAAAATCAAGAGTTGAATACTTAACCAACTGAGCCACCCAGGTGCCCCAGTACATGTCAGTTTCTATTTTTATTTTTTATCACAACCATCTGAGTGGTTGTGAGCTGGTCTCTCACTTTGAGTCTGATCTGCATTTTCCTGATGATCAGCGATGGTGAGCATCTTTCCATGTGCATATTGGCCACCTGGTGCTTTCTTTGGAGAATTGTCTGTTCAGGTCCTTTGCCCATTTTTGATTCAGGCTGTTTGTATTTTGTTGTTGTGTTTTGCTTTTTATTTTTTTTTAATTTGTCAGCTTTATATTTTTTCTTAAATAGTTTATTGTCAAGTTGGTTTACATATAACACCCAGTTCTCATCCTAAGAAGTGTTTTAGAAGTTCTCTTAGAGACACCTGGATGGCTTAGTCAGTTATGCAGGAACTCGTGATTTCAGCTCAGATCATGATCTCACAGTTTGTGGATTTGAGTCCTACATCAGACTCTGCACTAATAGTGATCCTATCCCACTCTCTATCTCTCTGTCTCAAAATAAATAAACAAATTTTTATTTTTTATTTTTTAATGTTTTATTTCTTTCTAGGAGAAAGAGAGAGAGAGACAGCGTGAGCAGAGGAGGGTCAGAGAGAGAGGGAGTCACAGACTGAAACAGGCTCCAGGCTCTGAGCTGGCAGTCAGCACAGAGCCCGACGTGGGGCTCGAACCCACGAACCGCGAGATCATGACCTAAGCGAAAGTCGGACGCTTAACCGACTAAGCCACCCAGGCATCCCATAAACAAACTTTTAAAAAAGTTTTTAAAAGTTCCATTATATTCTGGGTATAAATCCCTAATCAGGTATTTTCTTCTATTCTATGGGCGGTCTTCTTACTCTTGATAGTGCCCTTTGATGCACAAAAGTTCCTAATTTTGATGACGTCCAGCAAATGATGCTCTGGAACCTTCAGAAAATGGCATCACTTCCTACTCATCAGGTTCACTCTTCAGCCTGACCCCACCTTCCTGAGCCTGGCCTCCCCTCCCCAGCCCACCCTGGGCCTGACTATATTCCTTCCTCACAGTGTCACCCACCTCCTCTCCTGACCTCACCTGGCTGAATCATGTTCTCTGGAGCCTGGCCTCCTGTCTATCCCATCCACATCTGGGTATGCCCCCCACCCCAAAGGGCTCTGGGTAGACCTCTCAACCCCTGCTCATTCTGGGTTTCACTTGGTGCCTTGGACCTCAGCCTTACCCCAAGTCTCCACCCAGGCCTGCCTCTGTTGCTCCCATGTTCTAGGTGTTAGTAAGCATGCTGTCTGTGTGGGTGCCTCATCTTTGTGACTGGGCCCTGAGCTGGAGACAGGGACCCTGGCTGGGTCCCAGGGGCTTTGCAGGACTCCATTCCATGCCCTACCTTACTCACTGCACAGCCCAAGCAGCACAACTAACCTTGAGGATGGAATGGGCAGGTGGCCTGCAGCTGGCTTGAAGAGGGACAAACCCACAATGCTCCGGCTTGACCATGGCCATGTCCCCTCAGAAGCCTTCCAGAAATGTAGGTGATTGCAGCTTGTGTTTTTGTCTTCAACCTGTGGAGAATTGGTCACAATCTCCAAATCTAACACAGGGAACACCCTTCAGCTTGGCCTGCAGTTCCTCAACACAACTACCAGCTCCTATCAGAGAGCTGCCCTCCTGGGTTGTCCACAGACTCCATGAAGTCTGAACACAGGACCTCAGGACCTCAAAGAGCAGTAAGCCCTCCAGCACAGATTCTAGGGATGGAATCCACCTTCAAATACCAGAATCTGGGCATTTGGAAGAATTATACTGACTTTGAATTCAAAGAGAATCCTCGGCCACTACCACAAGGTAGAGAGACAACCCAGCTGTCTGAGGCACAAGACTGTACAAGATCTGTCATTATCATCCGAGGGTGCCATCAACCCCTCTCCTCCATCAGAGCAGGGTCCTACTGTCAATCCTAGCCACACTAATAAAGATCAGGCTGATAAGCAGAGAATACATGGTAACCAGATGGCCTGGGCCTATGCAATCAGCAGGGCATGATGGGCCAGGAAACAAGAGATAGGAGTTTCTAGAACAGTCCTGGGGCACAGGGACATCCAGGACAGTCCTGGGGGACATGACATCCAGGAGAGTCCTGGGGGACATGACATCCAGGACAGTCCTGGGGGACATGACATCCAGGACAGTCCTGGGGCACAGGGACATCTAGGACAGTCCTGGGGGACATGACATCCAGGACAGTCCTGGGGGACATGACATCTAGGACAGTCCTGGGGCACAGGAATATCCAGGACAGTCTTGGGGGACATGACATGTAGGAGTAGGATAGGCCTAGGGGACAGGGACATCCAGGACATACCTGGGGATATGACATGTAGGACAGGCCTGGGGGACATGACACCTAGGACGGTCCTGGGGGACAGGGACATCTGGGTGAGACCTGGGGGACGGGGACATCCAGGACAGATCAGAGTTCCTCCAGGAAGCAGGAGGACTAGCTGACATGCAGGAGACCCGGAGCACCGGTCAGCCAGGAGCTGGGTCTGCACTGACTTGAATATCCTAGTGTCCAGCTGAGCCAGATCCTCTCCAAGCAGCCTGGCCCCTACATCAGGTCTGGTGCTGAGGTCCCATGACAGCAGGAACTGGACGGAAGTCCCCTTGCGGAGGACTTATGTGGTTCCCCGTCCCAGGCCAGGCAGGACCCAGGAGCCAGAAAGAGCTGGGGACACACAGGCCTTTGAACTGGGGAATCAGGAGGCAGATTCCTGTGGTGCAAAGTGCCTGCTGGTGGGGGTTGGCCAGGCTCCCTGCTGGCTAACTCACCACCATCCAGCCCGAGGGGTGGGACCCGGGGGCTGTGGAACATACCCCATGGCACAGTGTGATTGCAAGGTGGCTTCTGCTCCGGGGGGCTGGCAGACAGCCTGAGAGGCCATCTCACATGTCTGTGGTCCTGCTCACTGTGCCCCACCTCACCCAGGGCACCCTCCAGCTGCACAAGGAGCAGTCTGCCACCACTGTCCCCTGGGGGCCACATAGCCATGCTGACCTGTCACCTGTGACACCAGCAGGGCCTCCTGGATTGGGGGCTCCTCTAGGCAGGGTCTTGCTCTCCTCCCCAGAGGCCTGAAGGCAGTGGACTCCCCAAGTAAGGAGGGAAGCAGCATCCAAGAAATATTCTAATCCAGCCCCCACCCCAGCCAGGGCACCCACGGTCAGCCTTGCCTCCCGCCCCAGCCCTGGACTGTGGAGGGCCTGTCACTGGTGAGGCCCTCCCCAGTCTGCCATTCCAGAAACACTGCCTGGTAGCTAAGACTTCTCTGCTCCTCCTCAGGCCTGGTCCCACCTCATGCCCAGGGCTCAGAGGTCAGGTGCAGACACCTGTGGAAGTGGCGGAGGACTGCTGAGCATGCACAGGTGTGCCTAGCATCCTCTTCATAGGCGTAACCACTTCAGTAACTTCAATAAAATCATCAACAGCCAGGTTTAAAGATAATGTCCCTTTCTGCAGAAACAACTCCTATTCCTGTGGCTTCACTGTCCCCACCCACCAGCTCCTCATCCCCATGTTCCCTCCTGACCACACCGTAGTCTGTCTCCCTGCCCTGGAGACCCCATCCACTCACACCTTGGGCCTTGCTCTGGTGTCTCCTAGCCAATTTTTGCCAGGGCCAGGCCATACCAGGAGAGCAGGAATGGGGGTCCTGGCCCTGGCAGGGTCCTAGGATGTTAGCCATAGGCCATGGGGTCCTGAGTGCAGGGTCAGCCCAGGCATGGTCATCACCACGCCTCATGCCTGAGCTGGGTCTGATCCAAGCCCATTCCTGCCTCCTATACAAAGCCCACTCCCAGGCCCACGCCATCCCTCCAGCCCTGGGCAGCCTCCCCCTGACTCTCACCCCCTGAGCACCCCCGTACCTAGCCCTTTCCAGAGCGCTCATCCAAAGTCAAAGCCCCAGCCCTACCTCGACCTGCAGCTCCATGCTGACCTTGCACCAAGGCCCCCCCTCAGCCCTTGGCTCTGCAGGCAGCTGTCATGACAAATGAGACTTCCTTGTGGTTCAGCCGAGTTGAGGATGGTTTGTCATGCAGCAAACGCTGACTGATACGCAGCTCGTGAGCAGCAGCAGGAGCTGGGGACTGGGGTGGACCAAGGGCTGCTGTGGTTCTCTGCTAACACCACTACTGTCTCTGCTACAGCAGCTCCTTCTGCTGACGGCCCGAGAATCTGCAGCCACAGAGCCCATGTCTCCATGAGCCCGATGTGGGGAGCAGGACACGTGCCTGGGGGGAGGCCGAGGGGTCCCACAGGGACCGGCCCAGCCTGCTGGAGGGTCTGCCAGGCCTGAGCAGAGGGAGCAGCTGGCTGGACCCTGAGGATGCCCAGCTGCAGGCTGCCTGGAGAGGCCCTGGACACGGGGCTGCTCTGGGCCTCAGTTTCCCCAGCTGTAAAAGGAGGGGCTTATCAGTTCTTCCCTGGAAGGTGGTGTGAGCACGGAGTACGTGGCCTGTTCTTCTAGACACGGCCTCCCCCTCCCACAGCTGGTTCCCATTAGAGCCGGGCTGGCTCCCCCAGCTCAGGGAGCTCTCAGGCAAAGGAGGAAACCCGATCCGGCCACGACTCATCCCACATTCCAGCCCTGGGAGCCCCGGAGCAACTCCTCCTGCCTCCTCCTCTCCTCTGGGACCTCACCCTCATGTGACTCCAGAAGGCGGAAGGGGCTCCTGGGAAGAGGACCTGGGAGGAGGCCTGCTCTGTCAGGGGCACCAGCTGCAGAGCCCCCTGGAGTGGCCTAGCTCCCAGGCTGCTGGGGCCCTGCCTCATGGATCCCCGCAAGGCAAGGGGTTGTGGGTCCGGGGATGGCACAAGGTCCCACCAGCCTATCCCTGATCCCCACATGGTGGGCTGGAGGGTGGGGTTCTGAGAATGCCAGAAGTCCCCAACCCTCACCCGTCAAGGACCCACCCAGTGAGAAGGAAGTGCAGAAGCTGGTCCAGGACTGCCAGCAGCCAACCCTGCTTGTGTGCATGGGGCCGGCTGTGAGTTCTGTGGACCCACATGTCCACCTGCCCCGGCCTGTCTCCTCCCCCCACCTGGCCACCTGGCCTGTGTCTGTCCAGTCTCTTGAACGGGAGGCTTGCTTGGCATCACACAGACAAAGGTTATAGGGAGAGAGGACTGAGCAGGCAGGCTGGTCCTGGGAGTGTGTCTGTGCGTGTTTGTGCATGAGCATGTATGTGCGCTCTGTGTGTGTGCGCGTGCATGGGCTGCATGTGCACGTGTGTAAGCTGTGTCTACGTGTGAGCGTGTGTGAGCTGTGTGTGTGCACGTGTGTGTGTAAGCTGTGTCTGCATGTGTGTGCACATGTGTGTGAGCTGTATGTGGGTGCTCTGTGTGGGTGAAGTGGCCATGAGTCTTCACTGTCTAGGACAGGAAATGAAGCCGGTGCCCCCAGCCCGACGTGCTGTCCACCTCGGTGGACCTGCCCCGGCTCCTGACTCTGGATCCTCTTGGTGGAGCCTGCTGGGGGAAGGGCAGGGAGGGGAGGGGATGCATTCCCAGGGGCTTGCAGCCCTGGCAGGGGGCCTGTTGGGGCGGCACTGCCTAGCTGGTGAGGAAGCTGGGCCTGAGACCAGTGCCAGCCAGGATGGGTTGGAAGAGCCACCTGGCACCAGCCAAGACCGACAGGGACCCCGGAGGCTGCACGGGCCTTGGCATCCCCTGCTCTGGCCTCTGGGAATGGCCAGGACCTGTCCTTGAGTGGGACTGTCCTGCCCAGCCTTGGGGTTCTGTGATTCCAGAATAGCAGAACCTGGCAGCCTTGCAGGTGCAGATACCTCTCGACCCCCACCTCCCTGGGATTCTGTCCAAACACCCACCTCTCCCTAGGTCCCCACCTCTCTGTCCATTCCCTCTGTGCTCTGGGCTCGTCCCCACCACTGCCTGGACCACAGCCCTCCACCCAGCTGCAGGGTCTGTAGGGGCCGGGAAGCCTCACTGCCTGTAGGACACCCACCTCTAGGGCGTTGCTGGAGCCCCTGCCCTTTGTCACCTACCCAGGGTGTGGTTCACACCGGACATGCAGGCAGGCTCTAGAGAGCACACATGCACACACACACATGCATGCACACATGTGGAAACACACAATCGCATGTGAACAGTTGTGCATGTGCAGACACACGCACACAAGATGCTCACACACACAGCTGCACACAGAGCTGTCACTTTCTTTCTCTAGACTTTGAGCCACAGCTGCCTACATACCCATCCCCCTCTTGGTCTGCTGACGGTCGGCCCTCAGGGTCCAGTCACAGGCTTCCTCTGTGCAACATCTGGCCCCCAGGTGAACTCCTGTGGTCACCTGTCCCCATATAGAGGGCAGGCCTGTCCTGCACACATCACCCCACCCAACACATGCCAGCCAAGCTTAATCAGCACAGACGTACTCTGGAGCCAGTCTTCCAGGAGGCCCTGGGGTCCTGGCCCTGGGGTCAGGGAGCAGGAAAGATGGGGCTCATCCCCTCACAGCACCAGGTCACCCACCACTGCAAGGGCAGCCAGCCCAGGTCGCACCACAGAAACAGCAGAGATGGGATCTGAGCCCAGGGGAGGGGATGTCAAAGCTGGGCCTTCACACAGGCGTGCACACAGGCTCACCATCAAGTGCTGCATCTCTGGAGCCAGGGCTGCCTCACGGCCCCAGGGCTTTGATGCAGCCATACTCCTGACTGGGTGGCCACGGATGAGGACATGGAGCAGGGGCCCAGGTCCAGCCCCTCAGGAAAGGACCAGCCCCACTTAGCGTGGGGCTAAGTGGAGCTCATGAGGAGGAGGGTCCAGTGCTCTGCGTTAGTAGGGACACTAGCCAGGACAGACACATCCTGCAGATGGAAGACTGGGGCCCAAGCAGGGATGGTGAATGAGAAGTAAACCTGAGCAGGGGCCTGCTATCCAGCCCCTTGGGGGCAATAGGAATGGAGGTGAGGCCAAGCCAACAGGGGTGGTTGAAATGCAGGGGCAAGATCAGCCAGGTGGGGCTGGAGCCCAGGGACACCCAGGCAGGTGGACCTTTCAAGAGGAGGAACACTCTCACAACAAACAATGCAAGGATGACTGCATAGACCCCTTCCTCAATTTAGCCCCCTAAACGCACCAGAGTGAATCAGACACAAAATCATGAAGCTCTTAGAGGAAAACGCAGGGCAAATCTTTATGACCTGGGATTTGACATGGATTCTTGGATATGGCACCAAAATCACAAGCCATAGAAGAAAAATACACTAGTTGGGCTTCATGAGAATGGAAGCTTTGTCCATTGGAAGACATAATTAAGGAATGACAAGAAAATGCACAGAATGAAAGAAAATGTTTGCAAATAATCCATCTGAAGAGTCTAGTCTGCACAATATATAAGGAGTTCTTACAAGGCAACAACAAAAAAGACAAGCAACCTAGTTAAAAGTGGCGAAGGAGCTCGACAGACATTTTAAAGATGCAAATGGCCAGCAAGCACTCCAGAGGACACTTGGAGTTATTAGCCATTAGGGAAATGAAAGTCCAAACCTCAACAAAGACCCCCTTCACAGCTGCTGACATAGCTGGAATGGAAACATGTCAGTGGGGATATGCAGAGCTGGGAATCTGCGCTCATTGGTGGTAGGGCCGTGAAATGGCACGTCCACGGAGGAAACAGAGTGACGGCTTCCCAGAAGGACAACCACAGATTTGCCAGAGGGTCCAGCAATCCCACGCTCAGGGAACGGAGTCCCAGGACTGGGAGGAGACTCAAGCAAACATGCACACTCGTGTGCACAGGAACGCTGTTCACAGAAGCCACAAGGTGGAACATGTGTCCAGCAACTCGAAGGGGAGCATCACTTGGCCACACAAAGGGCTGAGCACTGACATGTGCAGCAAGTGGATGAATCTTGGAAACACTTTGCTGAGTGAAGGAAGCTGGACACAAAAGGCCACATTCACATGAAATGCCAGAGAGGACAAATCCATAGCTGGTGGCTGCTAGGCGCTGGGGAAGGGGGCCAGGGAGAGGCTGCTTGAAGATATGGGTTTTTTTTTTTTTTCAGGGGAATGAAATGTTCTGGAGCTACATAAACATGGAGATGCCACAATTTTGTGTCTGCACAAATTAGCACTTAACTGTTACTTAAAAACGGTTGATTTCATGTTATGCGGATTTCACTCTGTTCTGTAGGGACCAAGAGAGCACCAGTGGTGCCTTCTGTAAGGAAGCTCCCAGTCTCCTCCACAACCACCTGCAGCCTCCTGCACACCTTGGCACCCAGGCCCCCATGCCGACCCCAAAGTCAGTCTAGGAGTTGGAGGAGACACAGACAGGGTTGAGGCAGACGGCCATCGGGGTGGGCTGGGTCACCCTGGGCTGTTGGCTTCCCCTGATGCACCACAGGCTGCTGCCTGATGGTGAGACCCAGGACTCAGCAGGACCTGTGTGCAGGGTGTGTATACAGTGTCCTAGCCCCAGGCCTGCCCAGCCCCATCCTCCACCAGATGTGCCCCATCCCCACTCCAGGTGTGCCCCATCCCCACCCAGATGTGCCCCATTCCCCCATCCAGGTGTGTCCCAACCCCATTCAGGTGTGCCCCATCCCCACCCTAGATGTTCCCCATTCCCCACTCCAGGTGTGGCTTACCCTCACCCCAGATGTGAAACATCCCCAGCCCAGGTATGCCCCAACCCCACCCAGGTGTGCCCCATCCCCACCCTAGATGTGCCCCATCACCCGCCCAGGTGTGCCCTATCCTCACCCTAGATGTGCCCCAACCCCACCCAGGTGTGCCCTATCCCTACCCTAGATGTGCCCCATCCCCCACCCCAGGCCCACGTAAGGTCAGTGATGATATCTCAGGGCCTCTTGCCACCTCTTAAGTCTCAGCACCATGAGGTCCCCTCCACTCCCAGGCCTTTACACATTGTAGTATTCTCTTCTATCTTCCTCGACCCCTCCCACACACAGCTGGTCCTCACCATGCCCTCCAGACCTATGGGTGACACAGCGCTGTGACAGGCAGCCACTCCTTGGGTGTGAGTCACGTGGAGCAGGGAGAACATCTCTCTTTTTCAGAATGGGTGGTGGGTCTCAGTAGCCATTTGCTCTTCTGGAGAGAGGTTCACATGTGCACAGTTTTCAGGGGTCAGTAGCCTAAAATGTGGACTCTGGGGTGGCTGGGGTTCTGGTCCCAGCCTGTTCTGGGGCCCAGGAATCTGTATCTGTAAGTCACAGCCCAGGTAAAGCAGGCGCCCTCAGAGCCGGAGGTGTTACTTTGGCCTGGGGGGACCCCTTCCATCTGCACCCCAGAGCTCCTTGCTGACATGCTGGCGCAGATGGGGCTCCTCCCTCAACTGGCTCTTGAGTGGAGGGTGCCCAGAGGACCATCACTCACCGGAGACATGCACGGGAGCCCTCCTGAGCCAGGCAGACCCTCTGTGGGGGAGCCCTTTGCACCAAGTCACAAGGGACTTCACAGTCCCTGGTTCAGGGCACAGGTGTTTGCTGGGAAAATATGTTGCAAAATGAGTTGTCTCTGTTTGCTTTTGAATCAGTAGTTTCCACTTACTTTCTGTATTTAGAGACTATTGAGGACTTTGAGGGTCTCAAGCATCCTGGCAGGTCCTGGGAAGTGTAGGTCCCTCACTGTGGGGCGGGGCCTGACCTGGCAAGTCCTAGTCCTATGCTAGGAGATGATGTACTTCTGATGTCCAAGGAGCTTTGCAAGTGGCCTGGGAAACACATTCAGATGCAGCCACAGGCTGGTACATGTGGATCCCAATACACTGCATATGTGGGTCCATGCACACAGAGAGATGATGCATGTACAGAGAGACATATGTCCATACACCCACATGTAGAGACATGCCTGCACATGTAAGTCTACACACGGAGAGACATGTACACATACACATCCATGCACACTCAGAGACACACACCTGTACACAGAGATATCCACATACTTCTGGGGGGCCACTTTCCTCCTTCCAGATCTGGGCTGGGTGAAGAGCACCAGGAACTTGCCCTCAGGAAGTCCACAGTTTGGATGTTAACATGAAATTACCCCAGAGAAGGAGATAGGCTTAAGGAGACTACCTCTCCTTGCTACTGCACCTCTCTCCCCAGATGATCCACCTTCCCAGATGCTCCACCTCCCTCCCCAGGTCCTCCACCTCCCCTAGCTACTCCACCTCTTTCCCCAGATGCTCCACCTCCCCAAGTGCTCCACCTCCCTCCCCAGGTGCTCCACTTCCCTCCCCAGGCTGCTCCCCCTCTCTTCCTAGATGCTCCACCTCTCTCCAGATGCTCCACCTCTCTTCTGAGATGCTCCACCTCCTCAGGTGCTCCACCTCCCTCCCCAGGCTACTGCACCTCCCTCTCCAGGTGCTCCAACTTCCCATTCCACCTCCCTCCCAGGTGTTAAACTGCCTCCCCAGGCTGCTCCACCTCCCTCCCCAGGTCCTCCACCTCCCTCCCCAGGTGCTTTGCCTCCTTTCCCAGCTGCTCCACCTCCCTCCCTAGGCTTCTCCACCTCCCCAGATGCTCCACCTCTCTCCCCAGGCGCCCTACCTCCCCTGATGCTCCACCTCCCTCCCTAGGTGCTTCACCTCCCTCTCCAGGCTTCTCCACCTCCCCAGACTGCTCCCTCTCCTTCTCCAGGTACTCCACCTCCCTCCCCAGGTGCTCCACCTCCCTCCTCAGCCTGCTCCACCTCCCCTGGCTTCCAGTGTGGACCTACATGCACCTGAGGCAGATCCTCCAGCTTCACTCATTAAGTACTTTTGCAAAAAGTCCTGAGCTTATGGGTTTGCATTCCATTTGTTGGCTGGGGAAGACAGGATGTAGACATAGAGGAGAATGTCAGATGAAGTGAGTTCTGTGAAGACTCTGGAAGGGTCCTGATTGCCCCACGAGCATGCTGGTCACCGGGTGGGGTTCTCACCCAAGTTTGTGCTTCTCTTCCTCTTCAGCTTTTCCCGGCCACCAGTGGCATCTGTTGGTCAAGTACTTGCACTTGCCCTGGTCTGAGGCCCCAGCTGTGGTTTCCCTCCTGCTGTGTGAGTGCAGAGGCCAGCCTGACCAGAACAACACACCCACTCACAAGAGCCTCCCCTTCACTAACCAGATGGCCAAGCTGGAAAGCACCCGGAGAGGCCGGGAAATGCCTGCAATCACATGTCCACACAGCTGTGACCGTCTCAGGGCTGCCAACCCTTCTTCCATCCCAGCAAAGCGCTGAGATGGTGACACAAGGGGGTGTTCAAACATGAGTTCCCCACTCCTTCTCAGTGTATGCTCTTTGATCCCCAAGCCACATTTGGCCCCCAAAACAACAGGCCCTGTTGGCCCAGTGATGGCCCTTGTAAATGCCAAAGCCACAGCATCTACTCTAGGGTGTGAGAGATGCCTGCACAGGCTGTGTGATCCACAGAAGCCTCAGGAGGGAGGGTTGTTCTGCACCCAGAGTACCGCTGTGGGCAGCCACTCATAAACGTGGCTCAGAGGCAGTCCTACCGGTGAGTTCTGTCCTGCACACGGGGATGCTGTCAAAAGATGCCAGACAGGAGGCTGCACCTGCCCACCTGGGAAGTGCAAGGGATCACACACCCCTCAGTCCAGGCACGTAGTCACTGACTAAGGAGCACTGCTGTTGTTTATGTTATCGTCATTGGGTTTTCTCTCAGGCTTTATTCCTACTCTGTCTGATGTCACTCTCCTTTTCTCCAATTTTCTGTCTTATAGTTATTTTTCAGAGATATCTTATGCATTCTTTACAGGTTGTTGTAAAACCTTTTGGGACAAGGTGCACTGAACAACTGCTGTGTGTGCCTGCCTGTGTATTTCTGCACGGGTCTGCAGGCCGCCTCACATCTATGTGTTTCCAGGTGTCTGCACATTTCCACAGGGATTCGCATGTCTCTGCGTGCATGCGTACACACATGAATAAATAGCTGCATAATTACATCTGGGTCAGCAGGAGATGGAGAAGTCCTAGGCAACTCTGTCACACTGGTTTTAGTGGGTTGGCACACTGACTTGTAGCATTTGTAATTAACAAGGAAAGCAGCTGTGTGGAACTTTGCAGTGTTTGATAAACATGCTTTATTTTAAGACAGAGAGAGAAAGTGAACATACAGTATTAATTAGTTGATTGGTACATTCATTTATTACAGGCGAATCCTCATTATTCACAGATTCTGTATTTGTTAATTTTTCTGCTTTTTAATTCTGATTTCCTTCAATGTCTGGCAACTTGGTTGGCCCCTTTCAGCGAAGAGCTGTAAACAGGAGTGGAGTCTGGGAGGAGCGCCCGCCCTCTGGGCAGGATGGCTCTGTGCACAGGGCCTGCTCCTCGGTGTCACTCTGTGTTTGGGCTCTCATGCTGCAGTCCTGGTGGGGCTCAGGCAAGTGACTCTCCCTCTGCTTAGCTTCCCTCCTGTCTGTCAGGAGGTGGGGATTGAACTCAGGGTCTCTCCTCTTTCTAAAGCCTCTGTAGCCCTCCTGTCCTTGAGTCCTGTGCAGACAGCAAACTCCCTTTCCTCAGGGGAAGCTGGCCGGAGCCTTCCTGCTGCTGTGACAGAGCACTGTGTTTCCTGCTCTGGGGAAGAACCAGCATCACCCAGAGAGGACAGGGGCCAAGACAGGAGCCCAATAGCGTCCTGCACTCCCTGGAGCAGGGCGAAAGAGAGGGCCCCGTCTGGAGGGCCGCTGTGGCCGCCACATTCTCCGTCTTCCTCCTATCCTCGGCCCTCAGAGGGTGTCCAGGCCTAGCCACCGGAGTGGCCTGGTGCCCTCGTGGGTTCACAGAGAAGCCCAGGGAGGCAATGCTGGACTCCCACCAGCCACAGGGATTGAGGGGCTGCAGCTCCTGTCTTCCAGAAGAGATTCTCTGGGGGGCTTCTTGGGGGCGTGGGTCCCTGGACAAGTCAGAGGGTCATGTCTTATGTCTGACCTGGTGCCCCCCCCCACCTCTCCAGAGCTTACCTGGGTGATGGTCACATGGGGGCCCTGGGCTGACTCTGGGAGCGGTCTGGTGAGTGCGAAGTTCCTGTACTGCAGAGGGAGAGCACAGGAAGCTAGCTAGGCGCTCCAACCAAGGACACGTGCACCCCTGTTTGAGAATCTCGGTGAAGGATCCAGCAGCGGGAAGGCGCTCAGGCTGATGCACTTGGACCCTGCTCCCACTAGATCTCCTTGGGTCCCAGAGCTGGGCTATGGATAGGGTGCAGATTGCTGGCCTGCCACAGGCACTGGCCACCTGGCCCGCGGCTCACACTGGTAGGTGGTCCAGAGAGCAAGATGCCACCCACAGATTCGGGCATGGGGGTGTTCAGAGGACGGCTGCCAGTGCCTGCGCAGCCACACGTATATACTCTGATACCCCCAATCCCTCACACACCTGTGCACACACTCACATACGCACCCACACCCCCAAACCCTCACACAGCCATGCACATACTCATGTATGCATCCCACACCCCAATCCCTCACACACCCATGCACACGCTCATGTATGCACCCCACAACCCCAGTCCCTCACACACTGTGCACACACTCATGCATGCATCCCACAACCCCAAACCCTCACACACCCATGCACACACTCACATATGCACCCACACCCCCAATCCCTCACACACCCGTGCACACACTCACATACACACCCCACACCCCCAAACCCTCACGCACCCGTGCACACACTCATGTATGCACCCCACAACCCCAATCCCTCACACACCATGCACACATTCACATATACTCCCCACAACCCCAAACCCTCACACACCCGTGCACACACTCATGTATGCACTCCACACCCCCAATCCCTCCCACACCATGCACACACTCACATACACTCCCCACAACCCCAATCCCTCACACACTTGTGCACACACTCACATATGGACCCACATCCAAACCTTCACACACTTGTGCACACACACACCCAAATCTTTACACCCTCGTGAAAACACATACACACCTCCAATCCCTCACACACCTGTGCACACACTCACATACACACCACCCTCTCAATCTCTCACACACCCATGCACACACATACACCCCCACACTCTTAATTCCTCACATACCATTCCTTAATACCTCACATTCACATACACACTTCACACTCCAAATTTTCACACACATGCGCACACTCACATATGTACTCCACACCCCAACTCCTCACCCCTGTGCATACACTCATTCACATATATACCTTCAAAGATGCGTGCACACACTCACATACACACTTCACACCCCAAATCTTCACACACATGCGCACAATCACACATGTACTCCACACCCCAACTCCTCACACCTGTGCATACACTCATTCACATACATACCTTCAAAGATGCGTGCACACACTCACATACATACCCCACACCCCAAGCCCTCACATACACCCATGCACACACTCATTCATATAAATGCCCCCACACATCCAAACCTACAGACACCCAAACCTACACATGGGTCATAAATCCATGCACAGTCATGTACACACACACACATGCAAGCCCTCAAACACAACCATGCACACGCATACACACCCAAACCCACACACACACCCATGAAAACACATACTCACACAGACCCAAACCCATGCATGCACACCCATACACACTCACACATTTACCGAAATCCATGCACACACATACCCAGAACACACACTCACACAGGTCATGCATACACACACCATGATTCCTGTGATGTGTCTCCACTCAGGACCAGGAACACTGCCAGCAACAGCACTAAGAGAGCCTGGTGCACTACAGGGCAGTACCCTATCCCACGGCCCAGGAGCAAGGCTGGCCCTCCCCCTCCCACCCACACTGCTGACCCCACTGCACCCACAGACAGCACCAAGCATGCGTCCCCGGACCAAACCCAGCTCTGGAGTCAGGAGGGAAGGAGGCCAGCCCTGGGGCAGGGCTCCTGGTCCAACTCCTGTGCAAGCATTGGTGACCACGACTCAAGGAGCAGAGCTTAGGGACTAAGGAGGCCATGGTCTTGTCGGAAGATAGGACCCTCCATGAGGGAGCCTGCAGTGGTCAGCAGAGGCCCACCGGGGCTGTGGGCAGCCTGGGCACAGATGCGCTTGAGTGGAGGGTTCCACATTCTGGGCGCACCTCTGCCTTCCACATGTATGGGGTACCAGCTGCTGGGAAACGCCACTGGAGCTCCATGCCACCAGGTCCATAACTGTCTGTCCCTTCCTGGATGCCCTCTGTCCACCCAGATCCAAATCCCTGCTGACTGCCCACGGCTCAGCCCTCGCTACTGTGCCCCTTCTGCCATCGGTTCAGTCCTGCACCTTCCCAGGGCTCCGGAGCAGGGTCCAGGTGAGCTGCTCACAGAGGTCTGTGCTGCACAGAGAAACAAACAAGTCTCTTCCTCCCACACAGAACTTACCTGACCCTTTCAGCCCCGTGCAGAGAGCAAGCAGGGCTGTGTCAGCACGGGCCTCAATCTGCCCCTCCTTTTTATCGGACTCAAACATAAGGAAAGAATCAAGCTTTGAAGGATGTATCGTTTCCAAAGCTAACCAAAGCTTTTTGTTTTGGAAACTTCTCCTTTGGAAATCATGGAAAGCCAGTGCTGACAAGCACGCTCTTCTCCGAATCGCAGAGTGATTTGTTTATTCAGGCCGTGCACTCTCTGGGATGGCATCTGGACACAGACATCTGCTTCTGGTGAGAGTGTGAGGCTCGGTCGCACCGGGCACGCAGAACGGCAGCCCTGAGAGCACCAGCCGCCTCTATAAAGCAGGAGGCTGGTCAGGGGCAGGCGCCCAGGGTGGAGCCCTTCACAGGACAACTGCATCCTCCTTGGGGACCGTGCTTGTCCCCTCACGGGCCTCTTCTCTGCAGAAGGGGGACCGGCAGGTCCACCCCTCTTCCCCCAGACCCCCCTCTAGCCTTCCAACTTTCTGCCTCCTGCCCCCACCCCAGGAGACACTCCTGGGCTTGTAGGTGCAGCTGAGCTGGGGGCTTCAAGATTTAGGACAGTAAAGGGGCACCTGGGTCACTCAGTCGATTAAGCCTCTGACTTCAGCTCTAACTTTCAGCTAATCTAACCCAGCTCAGGTCATGGGTTCCAGCCCCGCGTCGGGCTCTGCGCTGACAGCTGGGAGCCTGGAGCCTGCTTTGGATTCTGTGTCTCCCTCTCTCTCTGCCCCTCCCCTGCTTATGCTCTGTCTCTGTCTCTCTGTCTCTCTCTGTCTCTGTCTCTCTCTCTCTCAAAGCAAGCAAGCAAGCAAGCAAGCAAACAAACAAACCTTTAAAAAATTAGGGCAGTAAAAAATACCTTCTCCAGAGGCACAGCCCTCATGCAGCCACAGCCCTTAGCGGGGTTTGGCACCAACTGTGTGCCAGCCCATTCTTAGCTAGGCAGGCCCCTGTAGGATGGTGGAGGAATTCGGCTGAAGTGGGTTTTGCTGATGCACTCACACACAGATCAGGACTTCCAGTGTCACCTCTGGGCCTGCCTGGGGCCTGCCCCAGACACCGCTGTGCACAGCCCTCTGCCCTGCCTCGCTGTCTCCAGCCCAGTCTTGCCCATGAAGAGCGCAGGCAGCGGGCACGCCCAGAGGTGGGGATGCTCGGGACTTGGCCTGCAGTAGTGGGTGCCCGCCTGACTCGCCCATGCGTCTACAGGGCTGAGCGACCCTGTGGAGCAGAGGGAGCTCCAGAGAGGCCTGGCCTCTCCGGGCCTTTGTCTCCCCCCGCCCCACCCCCCACTGCACTGCTGTGCCCACAAAGACTGGCAAACTGTGATGTCCCGCTCGGACCCCACTCGCTCCATGACCCGCCGTGACTTCCCATCTGTCCCGGCTTCACTGCCTAAACGCTATGCACCACAGTGAAAACCACTGCATTGAAGATGTGCCAGACACGTGGGTGGGGCTGGTGTCCACTGCCCTATCACGTAAGCCCCCAGCGGCCCCTCCCCGGCCTGCCCGTCAGCCTACAGTCAGCCTGTTCCTGTCCAGAGTGACAGGAAAGCATAATCGATGAGCGGATGGAGGCCCCCGGGGCCCTCACCCTCCAGGCCGCTGCCCCCACACTGGGCTCCTTTGTGCTCTTGCGGTCTCCTCGGCCATGTGGGGGATAGGAGAGGGCTTCTCCAGGGCTGCAGCGCTAAGGGCCCAAGAATAGGACAGGGTGCACAGAGGCAGTGGTGACCCGGGCCAGGGACTCTGTGGTTAGGACGTGGATTCTGCAGGGTCTGCACGTTGTCAACGCAGAGGCGGGAAGTGACTTTCCCCTGACAGTGAGAAGGCTCCCTGAAGGTGGAGGTGTCCACTCCCTGTGGGTACACCAGGGGCGAGGCCTGGAGCACAGCTGTCCTGGAAACAGGGGCAGATCCCAAGATGCCCAGCATCCCTGCTCCAGTGCACATACATGCTGCTCCTGGTAACTCAATCCACTGCTAATCAGAAGATGCTGTGATGAGATTCTGCAGACAGAATCAAGGTCCCAGATCAGGGCACTGTCTGGGTGGGCCTGCCCTCATCATGAGGTCCTTTGCAAGCAGACTTTTCAACTGCTGGTCGCAGAAGCCAGTCCGAGATTCCCAGCATGGAAAGGATCCGGCTGCTGGCATGACCATGGGAGGGAACATGGGGCGAGGAATGTGGGTGACCTCTAGGAGCTCAGAGTGACCCAGCCGACAGCCAGAGAGGAAAGGGGGACCTCAGCCCCACTGCTGCAAGGAGCTTGATTCTGCTGGGAGGAGCCCAGATGATGCAGTTCGGCCCACAGCCTGCTTGCAGACTTCTGGCCTCCAGGCCAGGGAGAAAACACACCCACCCAGTTTATGCGCTTTGTTACGGCAGCCACAGGACACTGACACCAATCCTGTTAGCAGGACGTGGGGGCACCCTATCATAACACCTAAAAACGTGGAAGTGGCTTGGCAACTGGGGAGCGGCTTGAGAATCTTGAGACACATAAGAGAAAGTGCCCAGGCTGCCCGGCACAGACTGTTGGTGTCCATGTACTGTCAGGGCGCCAGATGGGGCGGTGCTTGTCACAGCAGCCAGGAACCTGCTGAACTGTGTCCTCCTGTTGGGCGCAGGGCAGAACTGAGAGCCGTGGCACCAGGAGATTCCTGAGCCAAAGGTGAAAGGTGCGTCTGCTTTGTAGGGAAGTGGAGAGATGGAGGAGATGCCGAGCAGCTCCTGAGGGTTTGGGACACTCTCAGCTAGTTCAGGTCACACAGACTCGGGGGTGAGAGTGCAGGTCCCTGAGAGACCCTCGGTGGGACTCACGGGTGTCCGGGCCTCTCCGCACAGGCTGGACACAGAGTCAGTCCAGCAGCCTGACGCTGTGGCCCGCCGGGGCTTGTGGAACATCGTATCTGCTGAAATACTGCCTGCTTAGCCCAGAAGGGACCCAGGGAAAGGGGCTGTTGCTTTTCCAAAGCTGCACAGGCAGAAAACAGGCTGTGGACACGTGCGACACGTCAGGAAAAGGCCAAGTGACTCCAAGAGTGCAGAGCACAGCCTTGATTCACAGAGGACTGCTCTCTTGCCTTGAACCCTGCTAGAGCTCACCCTGCTGGATTTTGATATTTCTTTTTTTTTTTTTTTTTTTACTTTTTTAAATGTTTTATTTATTTCTGAGAGAGAGAGAGAGACCACATGAGCAGGGGAGTGTCAGAGAGAGAGGGAGACACAGAATCTGAAGCAGGCTCCAAGCTCTGAGTTTTCAGCACAGATCCCGATTCGGGGCTCGAACCCACGAACCATGAGATCATGACCTGAGCCGAAGTTGGGCGCTTAACTGATTGAGTCACCCAGACGCCCCTGGATTTTGATATTTCTTGGGACTCTTTTCCTTCCCCTGCCCCAACTCACTGCCTTTCTAAGTAGACTTTCTTTCTTAGAGCAGTAGGTTCATAGCAAAACTGAGTGGAAGGTACCGAGACTTCCCAGACATGCCCTGACCCCGCACCAGAGGCGCACCTTCATCCAGAGAGAGGAGCCCATGCTGACACATCATTGTCACCCAAAGTGCATCATTTCCATTAGGGTCCAGTCTTGTTGCTGTGTATTCCGTGTGACAAATGCATCCACAATTGCACCCATATCACATACAGTGCGTAACCTCACTGCCCTGACAGGCCCTCCCCCCATGCTCCAAGTCACCCCTCTTCCCCCTGACCCCCGCAGCCCCTGGGTGGTTCTCCTTTCCCAGAGCGCTGTGTACTCGGAATCACACAGTGCACAGCCTTCTCGGATGGGCTCCTTTCACTTAGTGATACATGGTTAAGGTTCCCCTTGGCATTTCTCTTTAGCTCTGAGTGTTGTCACCCTTGTCTGGATGAACCACTGTTCACACAGTCGTTCAGTCCTTTGGATAACAGTCCTTTATCAGGCATGCCTTTTGCAAACATTTTCTCCTAGGCTGTGGCTTGTCTTCTTACTCTCTTGACAGTGTTTTTCACAGAGCAGAAAAATTTAATGGTAATGAACTCCAGCTTATCCATTCTTTCTTTCATGGACTGTGCCTTCAGTGTTGAGTTTAAAAGGGCTCACCACACCCAAAGCCTTCTGGGCTTTTCCTCATGTTATTATCTTCTAGGAGTTTCATGGTTGCATGCTTTACATTTGGGTCCATAATCCATTTTTGAGTTAATTTTTGTGTAGGATATAAGGTCTCTGCCTAGATTTTTTTTTTTTTTTCTTGGCATGCAGATGTCCGGCACCATTTCTTGAAGGGATTATCTCTGTTCCATTGTATTGTCTTTGCTTTTTTGTCCAGGATCTTTCCACTGCATGTTTATGGTCTCTGTCTGGGCTCTCTGTTCTGTTCCAGTGACCTACCTGTCTTTTCTTTCACCAACACCACACTGTCTTGATTACAGTCTCTCCAGTGAGTCTTGAAGTCAGGTAGTGTCGATCCTCTGACTGTTCTCATTCACTACTGAGTTGCCTTTTTTGAGTCTTTTGCCTCTGAAAATACATTTTAGAATCAGTTTGTTGACATCTGGGATTTTAATTGGGATTGCACTGAATCTATAAATCAAGTTTGGAAATACTGAAATCTTGACAGTATTGAATCTTACCTGCAAACGAAGACAGTCCCACCCCCCCCCCCCCCACTTTCCGATCAGTAATACTTTTCTTATCTTAGTGCATTAACTAGGACTTCCAGTATGGTGTTGAAAAGGAATGGCGAGAGGGAACACTTGCCTTGTTCATGATCTGAGCAGGAAATTTTCTAGTTTCTCACCATCAACTAGGATGTTAGCCATAGATTGTTGTTGTTGTTGTTGTTGTTAGCCACAGATTTTTTTGGTAGCTGTTCTTTATGAAGTTGATGAAATTTCCCTCAGTACCTAGTTTACTGGAAGTGGTTGTTTTTTGCTTTGTTTTCTTATCCTGAATGGGTTTTGGATTTTTTCAAATGCTTTCTCTACATCTACTGATATGATCATGTGGTTTGTCTGTAGTCTGCTGATGTGATGGATTCCATTAATTGATTTTTGAATGGTGAACCACCCTTGCATTCCACTTGGTCATGGTGTATAATTATTTTATGCATTGTTGGATTTGGTTTGCTAACATTTTGTCGAGGATTTTGCATCTATGGTTGTGAGAGACATTTGTCTGTAGTTTCCTTGTAATATCTTTGCCAGATTTGTATTAGGGTAATGCTGGTCTCATAGAATGAGTGAGGAAGTTTCTCTCTGCTTCTATCTTCTGCAAGAGACTGTGGATAAAGATAAGTTCCTTTTTGTATGTGTAGTCGAATTCAGCAGTGTACCCATCAGGGCCTGGGGCTTTCTGTTTGAGGAGCCTATGAAGTCACAGATTTGTTTTCTCTAATAGCAATAGGTTTATTCAAATTGTTTCTCTTTATCAATGTGCATTTGGCAGATTTTGTCCTTCAAGGAACTGGTCTGTTTCATCTAGCTTATCAAATTTATGGTCACAGTTGTTCATAATATTCCTTTAATATCATTTAATGTTCATGGGATCTACTCCTCTATAGGTAAGGTAATTTTCTCCCTTTGGCTTCTTTCAATATTTTTCTTTATCTCTGATTTTCTAAAGTTTGATTATGATATGCCTAGGTTTAGGGGGTTTTGTTGTTATTTTGTTTTTGCATTAATCCTGTTTGATAGTCTCTGAGCTCCTTGAATCTATGGTTTGGTGTCTGGCATAAATCTGGTGGGAAATTCTCACTCAGTGTTGCTTCAGATGTTTCTTCCATCCCTCCTCCTCCTGCTTCTCTGTCCGGTCTCCCCCCTCACATGTGTGCTTTACCTTTTGTGGCTGTCCCACGGTCCTTGCATAATCTGGGTTCTCTGTTTTTCAGTCTTGTTTCTCTTTGCTTTCATCTTGGAAATTTTTGTTGACACATCCCCAGGCTCACAGATTCTTCAACTGTGTCCCCTCTATGGATGAGCCTGCCAAAGCATTCCTCATTTCTATTATGGCGTTTTTTACCTCTAGCATTTCCTTTTTATTCTTTCTTAGCATTTCTATCCTCAGTATACATTACCTATTTGTTCTTGCGTGCTCTCTACTTTATCCAGTAGCATATTAATTAGCATATAATCATAGCTGTTTTAAATTCCTCGTCTGATAATTCCAACATGACTGCCTTGTCTGGTTCTGATGTTGCTCTGTCTTCAAACTGTTCTTCGTCTGATAGTGAGCCTTGTGTTTTTTTCTTGATGGTGAGAGACATGATGTACCAGGTGAAAGAAACCACTGTAAACAGGCCTTTAGTGACATGGTGAGCAGCTCAGTCTCTGGTAGACTCATTTCTCTGGAAGATGGGCCAGTGCTTTGGCATGTTTCATGATGGCTACTTTCCCCTCCCTGACAAGAGCATGAGGGGACATTTCCTCCAGTCTTCCCTGTGAGAGCCTGCTGTGGCTCTCCCACCCCTGCAGTCTTCAGTCTTCAGACTTGCCCACACTGAGCTCCCAGCAACCTGTCCTTTACAATGTCGGTTTTCACCCCCAGGCACTGGTTTCCCAGGGGGGATTCTGCCCCAGTAGGTTGTGATTCTCTGTGCTCACCTGTATCCAGATTTGGGGCAGTGGTTTGCCCTGTGACCTCACTTCTCTGAGGGACTGAAGGAAAGTTGTGCTTTCAACTTGTTCAGTTTTTGTCTGGATGTTAGGACCGGGTAACAACCTCCTGACTCCATGAATGTGAGATCAGAACTGGAACTCTGGCAACCTTTCTAACTTCCATGTTTTTCTCTTGGGGTAGGGACAGCCTACTACTCTTGCCCTATGCCTGTCCCACCAAGTAGTTTGGATGAGACGGTGGAGGGGCATTTTGCCCCAGGTGGACCATACTGAGTCTCTCCCCAACTGGATTGAGGGGATTCACATAATGAGCCAATATTTAGATGAGACTTTGAAGAAAGATGATAAATAAGAAGTTGAGACTTTTGAAGATGTTGGGATGGAGTGAATATATTTTGTAGGTGGGCTGAGTGTGAGTTCAGGAGAAACCAAGGGCAGCCTATGTCCCAGTCCTGATTCCAGGAACCTGTAAATTTAACCTTACTTAGAAAAAAGTGTCTCTGCAGATGCAGTTACGTTAAGGATCTTGAGATCACGAGGGGTCATCTGCTGGGCACTAAAGTCATTGACAAGTGTTGAAACAGACACACAGTGGTTGAGGGGGCAATGCCAAGATGTGGGGGGGATGGGGAGATGCAGCTGCAGGTCACCAGCGGGTACAGAGGAGGGAAGCAGTCTCCTCTGGGACCTTTGGGGGGGAACAATGCCTTGACCACACCTTGGCTTCAGATTTAGACCTTCAGACCTTCAGGAGCTGATTCTGTTGTTTCCCACCACCTGTTTGTAGTAGTACCTTATGGAAGCTCCAGGAAAATCACACACCTCCATCTGCTTTTTGTTCAGTTTGCAGTCAGGTCAGGTGACAGGGGGAGACCCCGCCCAGGCTGTGAGTTCTTTGCACAGTGAGGGGTGGGTGAGAGGGGACCCCACCCAGGCTGTGAGGTCTGTGCAGTGAGGGGTGGGTGAGAGGGGACCCCACCCAGGCTGTGAGGTCTGTGCACAGTGAGGGTTGGGTGAGGGGGGACCCCGCCCAGGCTGTGAGGTCTGTGCTCAGTAAGGGGTGGGTGAGGGGGGACCCCGCCCAGGCTGTGAGGTCTGTGCTCAGTAAGGGGTGGGTGAGGGGGGACCCCGCCCAGGCTGTGAGATCTGTGCACAGTGAGGGGTGGGTGAGGGGGGTACCCCGTCCAGGCTGTGAGGTCTTTGCACAGTGAAGGCTGGGTGAGGAGACCCTACCCAGGCTGTGATATCTGGGCGCAATGAGGGCTGGGTGAGGAGACTGCTCCCCCTCCCCCACCCGTAGCA